TCCATTTCACATAGCTCTTCCACTTCTCCTTCTACCATTTCTTAGAATTCTTCTTCTAGAGCCCCTCCGAAGCATTTTTGGAGATTCTGAGAGTTTTTAAGAGAGCTTTTATAGCATTTCAAGAGAGAATTCGACGTTGTAAGAGCGAGGGGCTGCCGAAACGCACCCTACCTTTTAAAGAATTAATCAAAGCTTTCTCCCGGAGGTTTCTTTACTCTCTCTCTCTCTCTCTTTCTCTCTTTTACCACTTTATCATTTATATATGCATTAATTAGGGCCATGTAGTCGTCATACTTTAATTCCGCGAATAAAATGGTAAAAGCGTCATTTTTAATTTATTTACGAAATAACCAACCTATCATAGGGAACCTGAAAGGGGCGTCGTAGGGAGGCTAACACCTTCCCTACACGTAACTAACTCCCTTACCCAACTCTGGTTATAATGGCCAAAGTTGGTTTTTCTTGAAAAACCAGTGCCTTCTTTTTTTCCTTTTTCGGTGTTTCCGGTAAAAACATCGGTGGCGACTCCATAAGAACCCCTTCGAAAATTGGCTCTTAGGTCCAGCCCGATTATCAGACAACCTAAAAGTTCTCTTTCGAAAACCTCACCCCTAGGTCCAGCCCGGTTATCGGACAACCTAGAGGCGTTGTAACCCCACCCATAAAATGCGAAAACAGGAAGTCGGAACCATTGCGTCACTCCGACCGCCTCTTTTGATGGCGACGACAGTATGCATTGGACTGTAGGATTATGTAGACATTTTATTTTTGCAAGTTGTAGACCCCAAATCTTGCCTGGCTTAAAAAGAAAAATTCTGGCGAGAAGGCCTTCCCAAATGGTGTGGGCGAGAAGGCCTTCCCAAATGGCAAGAAGGCCTTCCCAAATGGTGAGGGCTAGAAGGCCTTCCCAAATGGCAAGGGCGAGAAGGCCTTCCCAAATGGCGAGAAGGTCTTCTCGAAATCCCAGATGGCCATCCTGACCTAGCACTTTTTCCTATAAATAGGAGCCTCATTCCACCCATTTTCACACACCATTCACTCCTACCACTCTTTAGGAAGCCTTTTGGCACTTTAGAGTGACTCTGGGTATTTTTCCAGAGTTCGAGTGAGCTTTCCGATTTCCGTTAAGGTAGAAATCGGTTAAGGATGTCTCCTTTTTTTGAGATATCCGGCCCTCGGTAGGGTGACACCTTTATTTTTTTATCAAGGGAGGAGTGTCTCTGTAGAGTGTGGGGACTGCCAAAAAGCGTCCTCAAGTTCAATATTTATGAAAGCTCGCTTCGGAGGTTCTTCTTCATATCTCTTCTCTTTTATTACTTTCTTTTACTGTTTCCCTTGTATGCATTAGATATTAGAATTATGTAGATAGCTACTTAAATTCTATAATGAATAAATAGGGTAGAAGCATAATTTTATTGTGTTTATTTTAAGAATAGTCCATCATAGGGAACCTGAAAGGGGCGCTGTGGGGGTTCTAATACCTTCCCCACACGTAACTAACTCCCTTACCCGACTCTGGTTATAATGACCAAAGTTGGTTTTTCGAAAACCACTGCCTTTTTTTTCCTTTTCCGATGTTTTTGCTAAAAACATCGGTGGCGACTCCATAAGAACCCTTTTCGAAAACCTCGCTTTTAGGTCCAGTCCGATTATCGGACAACCTAAAGGCACCTTTTCGAAAACCTCGCCCTTAGGTCTAGCCCGGTTATCGGACAGCCTAAAGGCGTTGTAACATCACACTTTTAAAACGCGAAATAGAAGTCAGAACCATCGCGTTGCTCCGACCGCCTCTTTTGACGGCGGCGATAGATGGCGACTCCACTGGGGAAGCTAGAGAGTTGATCCCATTTAGTGATGGACTAGTTTGATAAATAAAAGACTTAAAATTTTTGCTTTTACCCTACCTTGCTTTATAACACGTTTATTTACATGGCTTTAATAACTGTTGTTTGTTTATTTTACGCAATTCTTTGAAATACAAACTTCACACAACAGTTCCCTCTATACCCGGGGGCAAATGAGAAATCCACAGGGAGTGAGTGGCAGGTACGGTTTGCCGTAGTGAGGGCCATGCAGCCCACTGGTATGATCGGAAACCACCACTCAATGTGATAACCTTCTTCTTTTGGCACAAAGACTGACTATGGCCTTAGTGCTAAGCATGGTCGGAAGGCTGGAGAGTGGGGACCCTATAATGGGGGCACCTTGGGGGCCTAAGCCTTGGTGAGAACAGTTAGAACCTACCTTTGCAAATGAACTTTTCTGCAGGAAAACCCTACCTCGTAATTAAAACATCATCTTATGTGTTTGCGGATAAGTTAATTGCGTGTGCATTTTGTTTGTTGCATTTGATTGCATAGCATAACCAAACAACAAATAAAAACAGAAAAACCACAAAAATATTTTCGCAATAAAGAACAGGAGGTCTTTTGCTCTTATTTTGAGGTCGGGCAAGATTTGGGGTCTACAGCTGCCCCCCCTTTACCTGACTAGTCGACTGTTGGCCTGTCATGCCAAGAAGATCGACTGGAGGGTAAAGGAGTTGACCCTCTTACCCGGTTACTCTTCAGACGTTCTGTCTTGCGGCGGTTGATCTTCTGGGGAAAAGTGTGTTGTGCGCCTCTGTAGACCCCTAATTTTGCCCGGCCTCTCAATAAAGGCTAAGGAGACTTCCTACAACAAAATAAAGTTCGCCCGACATCTCAATAAAGGCCAAGAAGACTTCCTATATGAAGATAAAGCTTCAACGGGCGTTTATCGGAATCAATCAACGTCCGAATAAAGAAAGGAAAGCTTCCCGGGGGTCCCAGAACACAAAAGCTGGCCAAAACAAGTCGAGACAGTTGTCCCAAAGGTGAGACGGTCGTCCCAAACTGCCATAGCCAAGTGGGATGCCCGTCCCAAATGTGGGACGCCCGTCTCAGTGCCCAAATTTGAATGGGACGGCCGTCCCAAATCCCAGACGGCCGTCCCAACCTCTCCAGATGCTCATCCTTGATTTCCAAGCCCCGGACGGCCGTCCCAAGCTGCCAGGCTGCGAAAACTATAAATAGGAAGCTCATTTGCCACTTTTTCACACCACAGACAACTCCAAGTACTTGTCTTCTCTTCCTACTTCGAATGAACTCTCTGATTGCCTTAATAAGGTAACAATCAGTTAAGGAATTATATTCCAGCATTCGATTCTTCTATAAAATTTAGTAGAGTCGATATTGTATTCGGGGAGGAGAGTCTTTATAGAGCGGGGGATTGCCAAAACGCATCCTCACGATTAAAGATTTGCAATACAAAGCTTGCTACAGAGGTTCTTTTCAATTCTCTTCTCTTTTATTGCTTTATTTATTGCTTTATGTATGCAATATAAAATAAAATCATGTAGATAGCCATTTTTGAATATTATGCAATAAAATAGGGTAATCACGTAATTTCTCGTAATCTTTACTTAATGAATTAATCCGTCATAGGGAACCCGAAAGGGGCGTTGTGGGGTGCTAACACCTTCCCCACACATAACTAACTCCCTTACCTAACTCTGGTTATAATGGCCAAGTTTGGTTTTTATTAAAATCAACGCCTTTTTATCCTTTTCCCATGTTTATGGTCAAAACATTGGTGGCGACTCCATAAGAACCCCTTTTCGAAAACCTTGCTTTTATTAGAGGATAGTTCAGTTGTTGAGCACCTCGGAAGCAATGAACATATTTTAAACATAAAACGTGAGTCTAAACCATCTTTTCGTGACCGCTCACATAAACGTTCGAGATGTCCCTGGACGTCGGAACGAACGGCGGTGACAGATGGCGACTCCACTGGGGAAGCTAGAGAGTTGATCCCATTTAGTGACGGATAAATTCAAACTAAGTAAAGATTTAAAATTACGCCTTTACCCTCTTCCGTATGTTTTATTGTATGGCTTTAATAAACTGCTGTATGATTATTTTCTGCAAATTGTTTGAAATATAAATTGCACACAAAAACCCTTGCACACTACAGTCCCTCTATACCCGGGGGCAAGAGTGAATACCTATAGGGAGTGGGTGGCAGATACGACCGGCTTGTTGGCACACGGGGCTACAACCATTGTCGAAAACCACCAACTCAAGGTGATAACTCTCTTCTTTTGGTCTAAGGATGTCGACACGGAGTTCCGTGCATGAGCCGAGGACTGAGAGATTGAGAGGTCCCTATAATGGGGGCACCTTGGGGACCTTTGGCCTTGGTGAGAACAGTTTAGAACCACCTAAACCAAGCACGTTTCTGCAGGAAAACCCCACCTCGTAATAGCGTGGCTCTGCTCGTGGATGTATGAATTGTGTGTGCATTCGTTTGTTGCATTTGTATGGATGCATTAGCATAGGGTAATCATACAACAAACAAAATAGTGAAAAACCCTAAAAAAATCATAAAAGTGATAAGATAAA